TCTTAATGGAGTGTTGAGTACCATGGAGCTCTCTGAGGTATTGCATCCATTTGTGCACAAGGACCTGCCTGTGGATCTCTTTGGTCTTCTAATGATGATAACCTTTGTCCAGTTCTGCTACTGAAGGGAGAGCGATGACATTTATGATGCTGAGGAAGGCTCTGCAGATCAGGTCCTTGTGCTGAGGAGTGATTGATTTGATGAGAAGCTTCTGGATTGTTACCTAAATTTCAGCTTGCTTTTAAGCGTTCTGAAAGGATGTTAAACCCCTGTGTGTAGCATTTAGCTTGAGGTTGTCTCCTTGCATTAAAAACAAAGTGTTTCTTGTCTGAGCACTGAGCAGTTCAGAAGCATGGGGAGAGCTTGTAACCTGTCTGCCAGGACTTGCACCCAAGGTCTCTCAGGTCTGGAGAGGGAAAGTTTTGAGGAGGATTAATTCATCAAGGAAACTTTTGCAATTTCATTGGTGTAAGAGCGCCCTTCCCTAGGGCCCCGTGCTTTGTTGTCAACAGTGACTCTAGATAGCGACGTTACGTTTCTCGGCCTCAAAAGTGAAACACAGCACCTGATTCTGTGAGGTTGAAGTATTTGTACCTCTGGAAGGTGTGACTTGGGAAACACAGTGCAGCGCTGAGAATACAAGGGTCTCTCCTCTAGCAGAAGGTAGCCATATGCTTAAACTTGTCTTTGCTTGTGGTCTTGTTTTTAGACTCCTGAAGAGGAGGAGATCTTGAACAAGAAGCGTTCAAAGAAGATCCAGAAGAAATACGATGAGCGAAAAAAGCATGCCAAGATAGCAAGTATTCTTGAGGAGCAGTTCCAGCAAGGAAAGCTACTTGGTGAGTCCCTGGCAGCATTAATGCAGGTGGGGATAAGGGAGTCAGGGCACAAACATGGTGTCAGAGCAGATGTTATTCTTGGTCTTGGGATCATTTAAAGTTCTACTCTCTGTGACAAAGCTGACCGCAGGGTGAAAGCAGTGGAGTGTTCTCCATGTCTGCAGGAGTATCTTCTGGGTCTTAAATATAACTTACTCTTTTATCTTCTCTGGAGTTACCCCACTTCTAACAGGAAGAGGATATGTGTTTCTGGAGCTTGAATTGCTACATGTCCCGCCAGACTCCTGGAGTTGATCATTCCTGGTTGGCCTTTTGAGAAAAGTCGTGGGGCTCAAGACTTGCAAAATGAGCAAAGACTCGTGTGCTGCACTGTGTGTCAGAAAAATGTCCTATGAACTTGTAACAGCTTTGACCGGTTTCAAGTTCTGGTGAATAGTGCAGTGTTCTGAAGTCTTCTGATGATGAGACCTTTGTCCAGTTCTGCTACTGAATTTGAGCGATGACAGTTTGGAGATCTGAAGAGGACTTCATTAGGGACTTGATCCAGCAGAGCAGGTTCAAGAGCAAGATACCTTAGGGGGGAGGTACCGAAGCCAGAACATGAACTGGTGTACCCGTTACTGATAACTTGTTTGTGCTTTTGCAGTGTTTCAGTTGGGGTATATACTGGGGTAGAGAACTATTAAATTAATTTACTGGATTACTTCTCCTTGCAGCCTGCATTGCCTCCAGACCTGGACAGTGTGGCCGAGCTGATGGCTATGTGCTGGAAGGCAAGGAATTGGAGTTCTACTTGAGGAAGATCAAGGCCAGAAAAGGCAAATGAATAAAAACTATTCTGCTGAGAGAACGAATAAAACCAAGAGTCTGCTATAGTACAAGGGTTGTGTGCTCATTTGTGTGTGCAGGGTGGAGGGGGCTCGCGTAGCAACTCCTGCCTGTAAAACGTGAAGGAAGAAGGATCTCTCTTGGAATCCCTGAGTGCTTTTGTGTCTCAGGCAAGTTCTGGCCCTGAACGCTCTCAACTAAAATATCTCCCTCAGTTCTAGGACAGTGACTTAATGGACCAAGGAGGTGTGGAAAAGTGTCAGACTTGGCTGAAATGGAGAATTTCTGGTGCTGGAAATCTGTGTGCAGGAGGAAGGTGGAATTGTCTGTCACTGCTAGAGTTCTGGGAGGTGCTGGGGTCTGGCTGGGTGCATGTCCCCGCTTTTCCTGTGCTGGAGCAGCTCTGCAGCTGGAGCACTGTTTTTCTTAGACTTTGTGTTTGTGCTAAGTCTCTCTGAAAACTTGTGTCTTACCCCTCCAGCCTTGCAGCCGGTACCTCCTGTCTCTGCTTTCCAGGTCACACAGGCTGATGTTCTCTGGTTCGGGCCAGCAGCCCCTTTTGCTGCTGCTTGGTCTTTCCTGCCTGGCTGTACAATTTCCTTCCGGGTCCGGTATCTTCTTTTAACCAAGCACCAAGCTTGGCTGCACTGCTTGGTGACCGGCTGGTCTTTCCCTGACCTTCTTGGTCTCATTCCAGTGCAAGAGAAATTCCTTCTAGCAGAAGGGCCAGGCTCTCCTCGTGGTCTGTCCCTTTCGAAAGCTGGGTACAAACTCCAGCTTTCTGCCCTGTCACTTGTGGGATTGGAAAGCTGTGGTGAACAGAAGCTTTTCTGCATGTTTTGGGGCACGAGATGTCATTTCCTTGGCACTCCTGATTTTTATAGAAGGCCAGTGTGATGGATTTCTGCATCTAGTTCCCAAATGCCTTTTGCAGGTACTAGGGTAAAGTTAGGAGTCCATCTAAGGGCTAGTCCCAGGGCTGTGGGGGAGCTGGACTCCCACATCTCATGCCTGCTAAGTGGACACACTGCATGCTTCACCCCACTTCTGTATTTTTACAAAAACCTCATTTATCCACAGGAGCTCTCTGGTGTGAGGCAGGCTTCCTCCAGCCCCAGCTTCACCATTTTTAGCTCTGAACTGAAGGAGATGGTCTGTGATCATCTTACTCCAAGCAGAACTGTGGTGAGACCCATGTCTCTGGTGCCTTAAAATGACTGCCCTAAAAATAGCTTGTGCTTGGTTTTTTGTTTTTTTGTTTTTTTTTTTTTTTAAGTTTTTCCTGTGCTGCTCTGCCCTGGCTGCTGTGTGGCAGCAGGAGATGCTGGTGGCTCAGGTGCCCTGGGCAGTGTGGGTTCAATCCTGCCTTGCTGGTAGGAAGCTGAGGATGGGTCTGTGCCACACATGGAAAGACACACCAACCACGTCAGAAGATGGTACCTGCTACCTGGATGGCTGCAGCAGCATGGTTATCCCGAGGCGGGCATGTCAGCACTGCTTGGCAGCCTGGGTCTGCGCCACTGTGGGCGCTGCCAGCGGAGCTGCGCCCAGCTGGGTGCAACCGGCTGTGCTTCTGGTGTCCCTGGCAGTGGGACCTGGGCTGGGTAGGATGTTTGCACAAGCACATTACTTCTCCATAATGATCTGGGGTAAACTTTTGCTGTTCTCCAGCAATGCCTGCTTTCCAGAGAGGTGGGGTGGAGACCGTAAAGGACACTTGGGAGGGAGACATCACTGCTCCTTCCTCTGAGTACGTCCTCTCCCCTCGCCCTTTGCAAAGTGCAAACAGGATCCAGGGTGTTTCTGCAGGACTTTGTACAGATGGAGAAGCTGAGGCTTATGGAGCAAATGCCAACTTGCTGTCAGAGCAGGAGCTGTAAACCTGGCCCCTGATGAGCAGGATTATGGCTAATTCATCAATGCACGCTGCTCATAAAGTTATTGCTCCAAAAAGTGCGGCTGCCAAGGGCAACAGCCCGTGGGAACTGAAGTGGCACTTAACGCCCGCTGGAGCCATGCCGCAGGTGTGACATGGGAATGGGATGGTGGCAGCTGGCTCCCACGGTGGCACAGCCTGTGGGACCTTGTGCAGCTTGATGATAGGATGTACAGTTTCTGATCTGGCCTTGGCATAGCCCCGTGGATGTGTGCAGGGATTTACCCGCCTGGGAGGAGGGAAGCCTGCCGTGCACCGAGCCAGCAAGGCACGGGCAAGGGCTGGGGTTACGCACAGCTTTGGCCTGCTGGGTTTGTGAGGTGCCAAAGTCTGGTCTGAGGACATTACCCACTTCTGCAGGTAGGTGCGAGGGCTGCGTTTTAAAAAAAGCTACTTTTCATGCAGTGAGCAGCCGGCAGAGCTGGCAGCGTGACCCAAGTGAGGTCGCTCGTCATCCTGAGTGCTGCTCCTTGCTGTTCAGTGGCTCTCGGCTCCACACAGTATTAACTTTGGGGTATTTTCACCGGAGGTGGTCAACCCAGAAAATGACCCTGTGGTTACACTTTAACAAGTCCAGCAGTGACTTGGAGGGCAGTGGAAGAGGAGCAGGGCTGGCTCACTGGGGAAAACAGGAGCTTTAAGGAGAGGCGGATTTGGGAAAGGGAGGCTTGCAGGAAAGGGATTTTTTTAACAGCTCTGCTAATATTCTCAGGGGAAACACACGTGTCTGAATGCAGGAATCCTACGGAGGCTGAAAGCATCTTTCTGGTTTTTTTTTTCTGGTTGTATCACTTGTTCTAATACTCCACAACCATCACTGGTGTTAGTCCATGGGGCTGTGCCCTTTTTGCCCCAGGAGAACACGCACACTCCTTGATAAAATCCCAGTTCACCCACTTGGATAAACGTGATGTCCCTGCTGTCTTGCCTCTGGGAATTATTTGCACCGACAAGGAGGAACCTCAAAGCTGAGGCTGGCAAAAGCTTTATTAATATTGAGAGGACATCTCCATCACAGTGTTGGTTTTCTGCAAGACTTATGCCCTTGTCCCGTTCCTTGCTTGGGATCTGGGCTGTCCCTTGTCCCCTGCATTGGGCCTTGGGAGCAGGGAGTGAGCCTGGCCAGCTGCAGGTCAGTGCCATCATCACACAGATGTGCTGAATCCTGCAGTTTTGGGGCTAACAGCTAGTATTGAAGGCTATCTGCCCAATCCCAAACCAACCAGGATCTTCCCATCAACCTGAGGACACATCTTGGCTCAGGGCTTGTCCTGCATCTGGACAGGGAGTCTGAGGGGTGTTGCCTGGGAACAGGGAGCTTTGTGGCTGGTAGTGGCTGTGCTTTTCGTTGGGAGCAGCTATTCTACCACCAGGGAAGGAGTGCTTTTGGGGCAGCCTCAGGGCTCCCCGGCCTCCGGCTGATCAGCCCCAATGCTCTCACTGGATGGTGCCTTCACCCGATCAGTGGTACCTCCTTCCTCCGCATTGTGGAGGCCTCCGGCAGCTGGTTCCCCCCGGGTGACGGCCAGGCATGGTGGGCTCACTGGCCCGGCTCTCCTCATGCTCCATCTCCTCCTCAATGCAGGCCACCAACTCGGGGTCCTCAGAGCAGTTGGAGTAAGGGGAGGGGAAGCCGCTGTTTGCCTGGAGATGCCACGGCTGGGGGTGACCTCGGCTGCCCCGGCTGAAGTTTTTCATGCTGATGGCGGGGGAGGCAACAGGGAAGAAGCTGCTGAGCAGAGGTGTCTGGATGCACGGCGTGCTCAGTGAGGCATCCACTAGCTGGCTCTGCCCCGCGTCCTCGCCCATGCTGGGGGAGCATGGCAGGGCGATGGGGTCAGGCTGCCACCCTCTGCAGGGATGCCCAGCACCACCCACTGACTCCGTCCCAATGCATTTCCAGGCAGGGAGCAGCGCCGGGAGGCCACGTCCCTGTCCCAGCAGCTCATCCATCGCCCAGTGCAGCCCCAAAGCCCCACAGGGGCTGGGCAACACACTCCCAGCAGAGATTTGCTGTTTGGTCGCCATAATTGAGCCCAGGGGGGATGAGCCCGCTTGTGTTATTGCTACCCTGAAGCATTCACCCTCTTTTTCTCCAGCTGCAGGGCTGCACCATGCACTCACCGCATGTTGAAGGTGGAGCCAAGGAACAAGGGCTTCAGGGTCTCACTCAGTGGCTGTGGCCGTGGTGTAGGGGGGCTGAGCCATGGACTCATTCCAGTATTTGTCCTTCACGGCGGGCAGCGGGTTCTGGTACATGTCATCCATGGAGAGCAGGGACACCTGAGCATGACAAGGCAGGGGACAGGGGTGGCTTTTGCTTGCTTTTCTCAGAAGTGAGGGGCTGAGCAGTAGTGCCAGGTGCTGAGCATCCCTTGGAGGGGGTGCTGAGCCTGCTGTGGGGAGCAGACATATGGAGGGGCAATTTCCCTGCTTCCTTGCATGGAAACCTGTTTCAGACAATGACCTGTGTGGCCAGGAGCAGGGCTGGGGGCTAGCAGGGCACAGCTCCCACTGCCAGGAGTCAGGAATGTCTCTGTGCCTCGACTGCAGCAGCCCCACGCAACATGAGCCTGGGGCAGGACCCACCTGCAGGTTCCTGTCTATCAGCGTGTTGGTCTCAAAGTCATTGTCATCTTCTCCAAAGGGGTTAATGATCTGTTCTGCAACCTGGGGAGCAAGTTGCCCAGGTGAGACAAGGGCGCAGGGACACCTTTCCACGGGGCTCTCCATCCCTTGGTCTACCCATGGGGCACATGAAATGTGCAGACTTGGAGCTCCATGGTGCCCCGGTGTGATGGCTGGGCCCAGAGGATGTGTCCCCAAGGGCAGCTAGCAGTGACATGGCTGGTGCCATGCCCTGGGTCAGCCACCCCCCAGCCCAGAAGGGTGCTCAGTGCCACCTGGCCACCCTCAGCCCATAAAGCAAAGCCAGGCTGTGTGGCCGCATCTCACCTTCAGCCAGCCAGCGTAGAAGAAGAACTGGAGGAGGATGGAGAGAGGGACATACATGTCCAGGTCCCCCTCCTGCTCTGGCTCCAGTGGCTCCAGGAACTGCCAACCAATGAGGCAGAATGCAAAGAAGGAGTAGACAGCCATGGTGACCACCTGCTGGGAGCACGGGTCAGCTGGTGGTGCGGGTGGCAGCCCAGGGGGACACTCGGCACAAGGGCAGGAAGGATGCAAGAGACTTGACAGGTCACTGATGCTCTCATGGGCTTGAGGCTAAACCCTGCTGCCCCACTCCTCCGCGCTCCTGCACATCCCTGTGAGGCTCTGAACCAGCGGCCATGCTGGCTCCAGCACCAGAATCAGTAGGGGAGTAAAGTGCTTTTAGGAAGGGAGGTAAAGTGCTCCCTATCGGGATGCAGGGAGGAGCTGTGAGGCTTCTCTGCCATTGTGGGGTGGAAGGAGCTGGGAGCTGGGCTCGAGGGGCCCATGGGGTGTGTGGGTACCCACCTGCATGTACACTGGCGGGATGCTGATCCAGTTGTAATGAAACAACATGCTGCACTTGGCCCGGTAGAGATTCAGCTTCTGGGCAGAGAGGACAAGGATGGGTGACCCGGGCTTTGCACGAACTTCCCTGCGGTGCCTGGTCCCCCCACCCCACACACCCGGCGCCAATTCACATCCATGAGTAGGCGAAGGGCCACATCGTCATGGATGCAGCCATCCCGCCTGGCCTGGGCCACCAGGTTGGTGAACCACACACAGGGAATCCAGTACTTGTTGAAGTCGGAGTGGAGGCTCTCGAACTTCTTGCGCTCATCCTGTGTCATGAAGCCTGCGGCGGGGGCGGGGGTCCACCCCACTGCCCCCCCGGC